AATTTAACTAAAATAAAACAAGTAAAATTTCCCCTTTGCCCTCTCACTGTGCTTCAACCCCCAAATTACATCCCATAATGCATTCAGTAGTCAGACACCAGCAATATCCGGACTACTGATAGTGCAGCAAGCAAGCAGAGGGCATAGCAATAAACAGTACATATTACTGAGCACACAGAATACTCCAGGCTGCCCGGCTCTCACCTGGAGCTCCGGGACGGAGAGCACAGATTCCTCAGACGCCGAGGACATCTCATCTTCCTCATCTTGGGTGAGGTCGTCGAAGTCCTCTTCCTCCTCCTCCTCTGGCCCTTCCTTCTCCCCTCCAGCTTCTGCTATGGTCTCCACTGACTGCCCATCGGCACCAGAGGGGTCTTCAGGCTTCCCTGGGGGACTGCTGCGCACCATCTCGGGATCCGTGGAGGAGGAAGCACTCCTTGGTGAGCCTTTGCTCCCATCTCTCCCTGAGTCCCCATCACCAGGAGGCTCCTGAGACACGGGAGGGGTACTGGCTGCCCCGCCCCTCTCCTCCTCCCTCTGTAAGACCTTCTGCCTCTTCCCCTCTCTGGTGCTGCTCAGCTCCTCTGCTGGGGAGGCAGTGTCCAGTTCCACAGAGTGTTCTTCTTTAATTTCATCACAAACATCCTGCTTGGGGGACCCCCCTGACATGTCTTCCCCAGCATCCATAAGTTCTGTCTTGACAATTTCCTTGAAATCCCCAGGGGAAGGGTGTAGAGATTCCTGAAACCCCTGAGGCAGCGGCTCCAAAGCTTGACTCCCGTCCTCCGTTTTCACAACTGTCCAACCACACACACTGTTCTCCGACAATCCTTCCTGGCACTCCATATCTGCTGCTGGGGGCCCTGGGCTTCGCTCCTCTTTAGGGACAATGGTACCAGAGAGGGGAGATTGTTCTTGGGGTTCTAATTTGGGTTCTAGGCTTTGAAAGGCAATGTTCCCTTCAGCCAAAGGACAGGTAAGGTCCACATTCACTTGGGCCTTATCTTCGGGGTGAGATGGTACAGGAAGATTTACAGAGCTGCCAGAAACAATTAAGGGTGGGATAGGGGAGGCCACGAGGGGCTGGTTCAATGGACAGGGGAACGAAGTAGGGTTAACCAAGAGGGTAGTGATGGGAATGGTCTGGGGGCTCTGGGCCACAGCCGCACTGACAGGCTGCAT